TAAACAATTAATGTCTATGTTTTAATAAACCACAATAAAAACGTAATGCTACAAAAAAAATTTAACACATCTTCAAATTAAATTATTTTTTAATTTTTGCAATTCAAGTGAGATTTTTATAGTATAACAATGTTAAATGAATGCGGATTTTATCGAAACGATGAAATTTCAAAATGCACTAATCAATTAGAAAAGCTATTTCTATTTTCATTTAATTGCGTAAGTTTAATTGTTCGGTCTCTAAACGAGTAGAACTGACAAGTTTTCTTTTTTATTTTTGAAAAATCGTGTCAACGAATCAGTAAGTGACAGATTCCTTTCTTCGAAGTAAACTTTATAACAATTCTTTCAAAAAGTATGTTTTTTTTTTAGACGATTGCAAAACATTGAAATTACCAACAGTTTTCATCGATCAAACAGTTAAGAAATAAAGAATAGTGCTCTATTCTATCTTTTATTCTGACACATTTATTCAAAGAAAATTAAATTAATGTTTATAGAATGAACATTATTAAAGAATTTTGGGTAGCTAAATAAGTTTTGTCTTTGTTCTTGTTAGACAAAAACGTCCTCTTAATCACATAACATAAAACTAATGAAATGCGAACAGCATCTTCACTACAACTAAAACATACTCTGATTATTTTAAGGTATTTGACAGTATCTGATAACCCAGCAAGTGTTTTATAGAAGAAGAAAAAAACAAGTTTGTTTTTCGACGATGCATTTAATAGTTGAATAATCTTTCTTTTCATCTTTTGTTTTAACTATATTCTTAGTTTAATATTTCATAATCATTCTTAGCTTTGTGATTACTTCAAAAGCGTTATAAAGAATCTATTGATATAACCCACTGATCGATACGTTATACACATTTAGTATATATTTAGATAAGATTTTTACATCAACTGCAAAATATTAAATTTGCGACTAGTATGTATTATGATAAACATTTGCAAGAAACTAATATTATATCCATAATTTGTTTAGTCTTCTAATGAATGTCTCTATCAACATTTCAAGAATAATAGATTTAATTTAAATTAGATGTGTCAGTTTGGAATAGTATTTATTGTATTATTTTGCTCAGACTTATACTTGGATAGTTATCAAAATTTTCTCCTTCAATTTGTTTCTTCAGTCAAAAAATAGACATATGAAAAGTGAATTGTCGTCAAACATTGCAAACTCTTTCATAAATTTATGCGTTTCATATTCAGACTAATATAGTTCATCATGGAAATCTCAAATATCAAACCTTATTCATGGATTTGATGAAAAAAAGAAAAAACTAATTCTTGCTTTCGACCTTGAAAAAATGAATAATTTGCACCGTAAGATGATCATTTTCTGCTTATTGATTGTTGAGTCATAATGATTTTGTTCACCCAGACATTCGACTGCAATTTTCAATTCTAGTTTATTATTCGATTTTGTGACGATATAGACTAGATCAGTTCTAGCTGTGAGTATCCACACTATCTATTTACTTTTCTTATGGATGTAGAACTCGAAGACTTATGATCAATTTTAAGTTTCTGCATCTTCTTCAGGGTTTTGAAACTTAATTATTTGAACATTCAAATATTTTTTTGTTCAACTATTACAAAACATATCTCCAGAAGATCTGTTTAGTTCATATAGATGAACATCGCGGAACATAAGCAAACACCAAAACATCTATACGCATAAATCATTGTGTCAAGCTTAAAGAGTTTGGGAAAACTGAATAAAAATAGTCAAATATATTCAGATTATAAATGCTACTATTTAAATACTCGTAGTGAGCTAACTAATTAGTTTTACACTACAGGTTTAGACCGACATTGTATCACACTGAAAATTTTGAATTAATCTCATTAGCTTTTGATTCTCAGTTGTTGACATTATTATTGCTTTCATAATCATCATATAGTATTTCACAAAATATTCTAAAATACAATTGTATAGTAGAACTATCGATTCGTTATTACTTCACAACTCGATAACAATAATTGTATTCAAAAGGTTCAAGTTCGTGCATACTATGATTTCTATTCGAATAAAATAAATAGAAAACAACATATTGAAATATATAGAGACTATTTTGAATTATTAGATGTTGAACAAAAATAGTGAAGAATAAAAATCAAAATGACATTCAAATGAAAAACAAAAACAAGTAAGAATTTATTTTAATTAATCGTTGTCACTTCCAAAAAAGAATCTGAAACGTACGTTATAATCTTTTAATTCAGTCATATCAATAAATTTAATCAACTGCTTGATATTGAACAAAAATGTAGAAGATAATTTTTTTAATTTATTTCATAATGAATATATACAATAGAAATCGAAAAAATCTCATAAACAAATAAAATATCTATCGCCATATACACAAATTATAATCAACTAAATCAATAAAATAGTCGTCAAGTAAGTTTTCTAATTTAATAAAAGTTTTCAATTTTTTTAAATAAATTTTAGGCGTATATGAAATACATAAGAATAATAACTTAGATATTTTCTTATTAATTTTTGAAAAAAGAAATCGTCCAATTGGTTCAATTTCTTTTTTATTTAATCCAGTTTTAATATATTCTATTTGAGGAAATAAATTCATAATCATTTCAACACATTCTAATGTACAACTTTCACGAACATCAAGACTTTTAACTTGATTCATTTTTGATACATATATAAAAGTTTCATTTTGTTGAATTAACATAAAATTACTTTGATTAAATGATATAGATTGAAATTTTAATATATTTAAATTAGGTGTAAAGCTTAATAATTGTAATAATTGTTCAAATGGAAAGCTACAATATTCAATAGTTAATTTAGTAAGTTTTATTAAAGGTAAAATATGATTAAGAGCCATTGATATTGAATTCTCAAATGCATTAAAACTATATTTGAAAGTTACTTCAGTAGCATTTGGAAAATAATTTAAACAATTATTTGTAATTTGTTTACTATAAATATTAATATGTTTAACTGAATATAAATTTGTTCTTTCGTGGTATAAACAAGTTGGATCACTTTATTCCCAATAATATATATATTCTTTTCTTCTAAAAAAAAATAATATTGAGAAGTTGGTAGTTTATGTTAGTTAGCGAATGCCAATGAAAATGGAAGAAAACATTTGATATCTTCAAAGAAAGCATCCGATTTTGATCAAATCTTTCTACAGAATAGAAGATTCATAAGAGTTGAAAGCTTTGCTTCGATGAATCAAACGGTGCATGCTATAGAAAGCCCTCTATATTAAGTAATTCTTTGAACAGAAGACTAATATTAATAATTTTTCTGAACATCTTTTTAAATTATAATTTACAAGAGAAAAAAAATAGAATTGAAGATCACTATGAAAATTTTTATGTTTGAATGTAATACAAGAATGATCGTCTTCTATTACCCGAAAAGGATTTAGAAAATTGTTATTGAAAATATCGAGGTCGATTTTGGGTCTAAAAATTATGAACCTAACGAGTTCTAATCGAAATATGGTAACTTTTGAGTCAGTTCATTTCGGATTGTATAGGTAGTTAGATGAAATAATTCACAATTAAAAACTTCGTAGATTCTTTGAAGAGAAAAGTGCTCATGTTTATATGTAACAATGTCCGACTTGTGTATGGTTGAGACCACAAAGAAAGTGATCCATATCGAACGCTGATGTGCGATGAGTCTACTGCTGTAAAAATATGATCAATAAAGATTTTAAGAATAACACTGAATTTCAGACTAAAAATCGATACTACTTGATCTTTGTACATCCTTACTTTTAACTCAACAATAAACTCATTTAACTTTATATGTATTGACAATTTATTATTGATTTATAGCTGAAAGAAATAATTTTACCTATATGGTTCTATTGAATAAAATATTCCACAATCTAATGTTTTGTGAGAAGTATGTTGATGTGTAAAAAACCATTTTCGTTCGGTCCAAAATGAAGAATTGAATTGACTAATAGTCTCATGAAATTTTAATGGATTACGAATGCACATAATACAAAAGAGTCCATCATGATAAAAATCAAATGTTTGTAAATTTGGCATATAGGTTAATATTAATTGTTCCCATTGTTTTGCATCTAAGAATTCAATATTCGAATTTGTTGAAATACGCAAAATTTGAATATGTTGAAAGAAATATTTGAATAAAATTTCCAATTTCTTAAAACGAATAGAATCAATTTTAATTGAAAGATATTTTAAATGTTTTAATGTAATTGAACATAAATTTTTTTGTTTACGATCAAATTCCTTAAGAGAATTAATTGTTAAACGATGAAGTCGAGGAACATATGATAATAAATTATCCAGTTCATCAATTGGAAAACGAGCATTTATTATTAAAGGTTCAATAGAGCTAAAGTAATTAGAAGAAATCATTAAATGTTCTTTATTATCTTGTTTTGTTTCATATGAAATTCGACAAAATTTTAATTTTGGTAAACGAAATAATTTTAAATAAAAAATAGTTGGATTTTGAATATAATCAATAGGATGAATAGTTAATGAATTTAATTTCGGTAAAAAGGATAAATGATTAAGAATATTTTCAAGAGATTTTGATTTAATATTGTCAAGTATTAATGTTTCAAGTTGAAGATATTTACAAATAAAACGTGAAGAAGAAAAAATAATATTAATAGTAAATAAATTTGATAAACGAATTTTATTTATTCGATGTTTATTTGGTATAATTATATCATTGTAATAATGTTCAAAATTTGATTTTGACATAGCCAATATATTTATTCTAATTGGATATATTGAATTAGTTAAAATGCATTGATATCGTTGATTAAGATTAAAAAATGCTTTATAAACATGATAAAAATCAAGATATTCGATTATTTCATAAAATATTTCATTTGCTAAATCTTCAAAACTAGATCTAAATAAAACAAAAGATAAGAATTCAATGGAGATAATAAATTTTCAATAATAAACTTGTTTCTATTGATTCTTGTTTTTCCAGTTTCATTTTGTAATTTTGATCTTTTATTGCTGGTATAATCTTGAATCGTATCGTTTCGTTGCCGTTTTCTTTGCACCGTATCTAAATGGTAAATAATATTTATAATGATCGAAAAAGAATGTTTTCATAAACAGAATATATGTGTGCACATGTTATATGTATCTATAGAAGTGAGAAAGAACGCATAAGATAGCCTTGTATAGCCTTTTTCTATTCACAACTTCGTACTTTTATATTAGTAACATGAATCTTAATTGAAAAAACAAATAGATATAGCTCTATTACACACTATTGTTGTGCACTAGGAATAACAGTTCGTTAACATTCAAACTTTGTAAAAAAATTGCTAACAATCGTTTAAAACAAAAATTCTAATTTTACACTTATTAAAAGAACTTTCGAAATAAATTAGATATTCATTATTTGTTTATTATGTGATAAGATCATGTTAATATCAAAAAATAAATTTGTATTTAATGATATCTTTAAGAAGAATGAAGTGAAATTTTTATATAAATACGTATTCTCACATTCAATGTAACAATAGCGACGGATCTAGAATTATTTTTATGTGCAAACTTATAATTATAACGCATTTTTGTAGCTTTTTCTCCTGAGAAAAACTAAAATCACTTCAGATTTGTTTCACTTCGTTTTCGATTTTTGGAGTATATTTCATTTTTATAAGTTTCGTTTGTGTTTTTATTTACAACAAAATTGATTTCAAACTATTTAGTTGTGCTTGCAACATGACACCATCGATAATTCGTTATGGAGATGTCTTTGTTTACTCATATTAGTCTTTATTGTTACATTTCATAGGAAGCTTATATTCATGAGAATTGCTTTTTTAACCATAATTAAACAGATTTTGGGTGACTCCTTTCATAATCACTATTATGTTGACTCCTGGAAATGTCTAATAGTTAAGTATTTTTTATCTTTCTTTTGGTGTGGGTGTGTGTGTGGATATGAATGTAAATTGAGAAAAGACCTGCATACACACCCATATCCACACCCTCACACCCAAATTTTGTTGTAAGAAAATTATTCTTTGAAAATAAACTTTATTATTTTTATTTCATCACAGGTTATGCTTATCGATCAATTGAATATCAATGTTTAATTGGTTGATTTATTTCATATATTGAACGATGTGATCGAAAAATTAGTAAATAGAAAACGTTGTTAGTACAATATTTGTGATCTTAAAATGTGAAACATGATGGTGTTACTCATGTTAAAAACAAGAAGATTGATTTATTCTGTCTATCTGAGAACATATTTCTTTACCATTGCTTTTCTTAATTCTTTAAATACATAATACCCCATTAGTATTTGTTACATTCTGCAATAGTCAGAAATTCTATCCCTACAATTTAAAATTTCTTTTAAATAATATTTCACAAAAAGAAAGATAAATATTTTTTTGAAAATTTTTACTGAATATAGACTCTAATAATAGTAATGAAATTGATGAAGTCAGTTGTCTATTCCATATTTACAATAGAATAGATAATGTAAAATGAACAACCAATAATATTTATATTCAAACAACTTTTCTAAGTGCTAGGTAAAAAACAAAAAATAAAAAGATTAATTTTATTTGAATAAAGTTTTGTTTATTTTTGAATAGAATATTTGTATAAATGTATTTATTTTAAATCTATCGGAATTTCAATATGGAACCATCTAATTGTGGTGAGAATGTTCAAAAGAATAGTTTTTTTTCTTTTGCTTTGATAATTTCGATTATGTTTATTTGTTGAAAATATGGGTGTTGGTGAATGTATTTCATAAAGTTCAAATAGTTGTGAACATGGTTGTGTTAATATATTAACTTCTTTTCAATGTGTATGTCGAACGGCTTATAAAATAGCATAAAATCAAAAAAAAACTGTTCGAGTAAGATTTTTACAAATGAAGAATGAATCGATTCAAAATAAAATTTTTCAACCCTTTTTCATAAGAAAAAACAGTCACCGATTGGTTTGAACTTTCGACTGGCACTAGTCCCATTGCTGGAATAAGAACTGATGCATACATCGATTTCAGAGTAAAACTACTCGAAATAATACCTACTGATTGAATGTTCATTAGATATACAAGGATGCTTTGATGAGACTAGAAAAAATCGAAAAGAGTGAAATGAATATTTGAATACTTTATGTGTATGTGTGCTCTAGCGTAGCAATTTATAAAATAAAATCATTCTCTATTCTTAACGGTGATATTCTGTTTCAACAAGTTCTTGATTATGTTAACTATATCGCCATAATAGTCTGTTATTGTGGACTTTTGAGATCATAAGATAATTTTATTTTCTTTCGCAATATATTTATCCAACAAATAAAGGAAAATAAATACGATAGAAGCATACACTTACAACAATCATTAGAAAATCGACCATTTGTACATTTAGGTCTTCCACAAGAACGTATAAAATATGTCATAGTATTATCAATGTATGATAATATCCGATAATGAAAAAAAATGATTACAAGTAGATGAAGGTGGTTACAATGCTACGAAATAGGATTATCTCCAAACTGAAAAGATCAAAGTTCAGTGATCTATCACATATTAGGGGATTTCATTATCAAGAACTGTCATGGTATAAGAATGCAGAGTAATGCAATGTATTTGATCAAACGTAGAATGCTCAAAAAGAATTCATACATCATAATCAACCATAGAAATTAAACCATTATGGATGAAGCATAATGGCTTATTTTAATATGAATTAATGATCTCCTATTTTTTTTCAACTTCTCGATGCTTTCTGTCAACAAGTTCAATAGGAATATAAAAACAAGAATATGCAAGAATATAAAAAAGCTCTTGTTAAGAAGATCATAAATTAGATTGAAACTCATTCGGTTTTAGCTAATACTTGGTAAAATGGAAGTGTTTTCGTTCTTCTAAAAGATCACTCATGATTTCAGTAGGATATGAACGAATAGAATAAACTATATCAACACCGACACCCAAATGATGTATTTATGTAACCTGAACCATGTAATATTTGATTTTTGCTAAAAACAATTGATTTTTACCCTTCTATTCCCTGTACTTCCTATATTATTACTCACTGGACTATAGAATCAATGCAGGCACTTTTCTTCAACTTCTCAATGCTTTTTGTCAACAAGCCCACCAAATAATTACCGATGCTTTGGAACTATTTCTTGAAGTCGATTTTATCATTGCTTAGGTAATTTCTTCGGAATTAGTCGCTTCAAAAACGAGTGAATATATCCGAGAATGGCAATCAGAAACAATCACAAGTTTCAATGGAACATTTCAAATGATACAAGTAATATATGTAGATGATTCATTGGCTACTACTTATGAAAAAGTAAAATACATCTTAAAAAAACTAAATCGTTGCTAAGTAAATAGGATTGAGTACACTCACGGAAGGAATGATTTGTAGGCAATTAGTCCACTATAAGAAGAATCGAGTCATAATGCATTGTGTTCTTTTCCTCGAATCGCTCATTTTGGTTACTACTTCTAACATTTCGAGGATGACAGAAATTGGTAAGAGAATTTTTGAACCTTGTCCCGTTTTTAGCTTCTGTCATTCCTACAAAATAACTTTTAATATCGAGTTCGAGTTTTCTTAAAAAGAACTGTAAAGTAAACTTCACTGAAATTATAAATGAAAAATAGTAAAGTAGGACATGCGAAAAAGAAAAAAAATCGTGAAATATAAAGAAATGATCTACAAGAAAAAAAGAAAATGTTTCATGACAGAATCACATATTATTCAATGATCACGTTCTCTCAAAGATTTTTTTAAGAAATAGCAAACCGAGATCATTGATGATATTACAAATAGGAAATAATATGCTGACCGAACGCTCCTCTAAACTATTAGAAATACGTCTCAATTAGTCTTTTGGCGCAACGTAACATATTCACTCGATAGTGATTTTTTTCAGTCAACTTTTGAATAGAAAATAAAAATGGAACGTCAGAGAATTGATTTCTAACGAAAAATGAATTCAAAGATGTTCTCATCAATCGAATTCGTGGCATTTTTTCAACAGGCTACTGCAAACAATTGTGCAACACATGATTCACTTTGATAAAATTCATGTATGTTAATATGAAAAATACGCAAGTACAAACTTATGGAAATGATATACGAAGTAACATAGATAATAGTTATACTGTTTACATGGTGTCGATATTACCGAATTCAAGAGTCATATTTATTGTGTTCAACTATATAATTCAATCTCTTACGGACAAGTATGAGAAATAAAAATCGCGTTTCCCCATTTTCTTAGAATAGCAGCAAATGGATCAATTGTCATTTCAAATTATATTTCACATGTGTAAATATAAGAAAACTCATCATTTATTGTTTTTTACAACATAGTAAAATCTAACTTTTCAGAAATAACAATTAACTCAGTTTGAACTAATTCGATGTTGTTTACTGTTCAATAATAAAGTTATCATAGAAGCTGATTCGATCACAATTAAACTAGTAGACTTTTTCGAAAAATTTTGGCAATTTATCACTAATGATGGTTTTCCTCCTAGCTTAAGGTCATAATCAACTTAGCGTATTTTGCTAATCTCAGAAGTTATCACCAAAAACAGTTGTACAGGAAGAATATCTTATTCAAAATACTCTACAATTGACTTGCGATTTTCTTGATTAAACTCATTATATTTTGATTATTGATTATATGTAGGAATCATGTCTTCTGTTCATCATTGAGTCCATGTAAAGAATCTAAAGTTTTATTAATCATCTATTAACAAGTAACGCTCGTCTGTGCGACTCGCTTGACCCTCGACTGCATATTCTGCCCTTTCCATTTTTTTCCAATCGACAGTCTTCAACCCGGCTAGTATCCGATGCTTCAAAAGGGTAGGTAGGTATGTGTATGCTGGCATTGACGTCAATCTCATTGTGCATAATTGTATGCTGGCCCGGATGAACTTTCGTCACGAATGTATCCAATGAAATTGATACCCTCACGTTGACACTCTGCAATAAATCTAAGCAACCACACTATGGCGAGGATATCCATAGGTACACAAAAAAGGAGCTTATATTCAGTCTTTTGAGAGGTAATAAAGCAAAGGTCATTCACGACACTTTCGCGAAAATGCGCCATACTCCTTAAAATTTTTATTATAAGTTCGTTCGCTTACTGACACATCTGCCGACAATATTCTTTACTAGAGTGTTCGCTAGAAAAATAGGACTTACTTAAACTTCTAGCTTACAATTAATCACATTAGGTCTGGTCTATAATCGAACTTCTATACTTGGAAGAAGCTCCTACTGATATTAGCCATCATAATAGATAGGTGATTTCAATATACCAATATGCATTTCGACATTTGAATCAGTATCAGCAAGAAAGCATCCCACCTAGGAAACCCCCGTTTATTTCATTCAAATAGCATTCTGATAGAATGAATGTAAGTTCTATAAATAATGTTTTCCCTCAAATGTACCATTCGAATATCGCAGACGTGCAGAAAAGGCGTTCTCACACTTCATTTCAACATGTTGCTCAGTTCTTAGCAACTGCTACTCCTTATTCAAACACGTATGACCTAGACT